AGACGCAGCTGAACTTTGTCTTGTATGCCAATTATTCAAAGTTTCTGTCTTGATATGTTGAGGCTTTAAAAATCGTCAAAGTATAAATGGCATTAACATCGCAAGCCTTAACACATCAGAAAACATGAAATTTTGACGATGTCGTAGTGGATTGGGCATTCGACACCAATTGGCTGGTTTTTTTATATCTCTCCAATGTTTTAAAAAAGCATTTTCACCATTTAGATTAAACACATTAAACATTGCCTCTAAAAGGGTACGAGTTTTTCCGGCCATGGAATAATATATATCTTGTAGAGTTTGAACATGCCGGTCCCACTTAAGTATCCTTAAAGGTCCAGGCTTTGCCAATTCATACTCAACTGCTAGTTATTTCATATCTGCCTTTGAACGTTGGCTTTCAATCTCTGCGATCCATTCTTCCGTCTGTTGGTAAAAGTGAGCATTTTGTATGTAATTATAATTTGGATCAGTATATTATTATTCTACACATTGCAAGTTCAGCAACCATGATTAGCACCATGTCGTTTTACATCCGCCAAGTCATTTCCTTGTGGCAGGTCAGCAGTAATGCATCCAATCACACTATAGTTGTTAAAATATTAAACACTTAATGATCTGAATACTGTATAATCATTATCATTATGCACATCCAGAATGTGAGACAAGATTAAAAAAAATTTTCTATATAATTTGCTTATGAAACTGCTATTGGTGCTCTAAGAAAAAAATTTTACATATAAGTTTGGTGCAAGTTTTGTCTAAATTTCTTTCTAACCCTAACCTCAACATTAAAATCTATTTAGCATGAATCGATGTTATCAATTAGTTATAACCTGCTACACAATCTGGTCTTGCAATCATGAAATACCATCTCTGCACGAATAGTTGCTGTTCAAGCTGTTTAAAATGACTCGAATTATGGATAATTAATGTTATATTAACTCTTTGCTAAATTATATAACATTAATTATTGCTGTCCCAAATAGTTTGACGGCAACTATATCATTATTTCGAGACACCTAATACATTATTTCAAAATAAAATATGAATCTGATATATATAAATGTGTTAACATTTTCTACAGAACATGTGTTATTTTGGAAGGATTCACCAACAATCACTTCACCAACAGCTCATTTAGCCAACATCATGCTAGGTGAAATTTTGTAAAAATATAATACCTGCAACTAGTAAATGCTTAACTCTAACCCTATGTGATGTCGGCTAAATGAGCTTTCAGTGAAATGACTGTCAGCGAATTAATCAGAACCCATTTTGAAACACACATGAGCTTAGTTTGAACAAAGTAATATTTTAGAGGATACAATTTTGAAATAATGTTATCTAGTAGCCATATAGTAATGATTTTTTGAATAAAACGATACTAACCTACAACCTATGTATTATCTAATAAAGTCATCATCGCAAGACCATTTTTTAATCAGTTTATTTCTTAAAGTATTGGTTTAATGAAATCATTAAAATTTGCTCCAAATGGAACAAAACCAATTAAAAAATGGTTTTTTAATTGCTTTCAGAAGTCCAACGGCATATTGCCAAACTGCAAATAAACTCCTTCTAATGAATGGTATACATTTTGGTAAGTGCCAAAATCATCAACGTAAATGTCGAGAAAAATCTTTAAAGTAGGTAAATTGTGTGGTGATGGCATCAGTGTAAAATTTTCACAAGGTAGACGATGTCTCATTTTTATTTCACAGTATTTCCATCTATCATCAAAATGATATACGATTTCTTTAATAAAAAATTCATATTCTAAAGGCTCCGACATATCACATAACCAAACATTAACATGTCATTCTATATTTGCTGGATTAACTAAATTCGTTTCCCTCTCGATTGGCCATAATTCCTTTCCATTGCCACGAATATGGCGATTATCAGTGGGATGGATGTTAGGAAGGTCTTTATGTAAAATGATGTGATCAACTTTCAACTTTAGTGAGTTGTTATCCGTTTCATCAACCACTACTCCACACACACAACAAATAGATATTGATGATTGTTTATGATACATTAAAAAATCACCGGCTCTATAGAATTCTAACAAAAAAGCAGTTATTTTGATTTATTGTTTAAAAATTAAAAATTAAAAATAATAATAAAAAATAATAAATAAATAAATTAAAATTAAGAAATAGCAAAAAACAAACAAATAAATAAATAAACTAATAAATAATTAAAATTAAAATTTATAATTTATCAACAATTAGTTGAATATTTAAAAAAACTAAAATAAGAAATTAATTAAATAAATAAATAAATATACAAAATTAAATTTTATAAATTATTAACCTTTGTTATTTTTAATTTGGTCTTCACCAAATAATAGTGAATCTTGTCATAATTCGCCATGCCAAAATTCTTGCTTTTTATTTGTAACAACTCCAGGACCAAAATACATTTTTGACATAAGCACTGAATTGTTTGAAATATGTTCTAGATGCGATAACAGAGAAATAATAAATACCTTTTTTGTAGATTCGTAAGTAGATGGTGTTCGTTTCATACAGAGAGGTACATTATGTTGGAGTACTTTAACTAAAGGTAGCCTATTTCTCCATTTCCGAATTTGCCAAATGTTTGTAGGAATATCTTCTCTTTTAAATTTAGGGTGCTTAAGAATCTTTACAAGATCTTCATATACAGAGGTCACTATAAGAAATCGGCATGCATTATGTACATGTTCAGTAAATTACTTCATGTTAATATAAATTGAAATAAAGTAAAACGTATCCTTCGAATACTTCAAACATGCCACTCGAGAATATAATGTGATTTCGCAGACATTGCCCGTGAAATCACATGATTCTTCAAGTGGAATATTCGAATAACATTCGAAGGTTACAATTCGATTTTTTAATCACAGCCAACTAACATTACTTACAGATCATATTTTTAGTAACCCAACTAAAGATTCTAGCCGATGTGAAATTTGGAAAGTATGGACCATAATCACTATCAAAGCCTTCAAAATCAGAAGATATATCTTCCAATACGTCAGTTTCTGAAACTTCTGTAAAGTCGGATTCATCACTATATTCTAACACATCACTTATTGAAAATTCTGTAACACCAGATTCTTCATTATCTTCCAGAATATTTGCGATGTTGAGTAATTACTCATTGCCTATAATATCATATGTTGGATTTACACTATAATTAATTGGAACTTTCATGGTATCGACTAAAGGTTTATATGAGGGCTGGCAATTATTGACATTCTCATTATCAATTGTTGTTTTAACCTTATTAAAATGGTTTGTATATTAGTATTTCACGAAAAAATGACACATTTTTCCAAATTCATTTCAGGTTATTTAGAATATATACTTTAGAGTGCAAACTAATGATTTCTGCATTACTATTTTCTGCAGTTTCATCAGATACTGAAGTTTCTTCATTATCTTCATATTTTGTTTTTTTCGATTTAATATGTAACTTTGATACTGATACATATGCATGGGTGGTTCTGTTTGAACATTTTATCATTAGTTTATAAACCTACTTTTTATAAAATATCTTTCACTTATTAATCAAATACTAGCAGTAGTGCTACAAAGAAGAAAAATAAATCGTTTGATTGATCTAATTCTGTTTTTTCATTTATTTATTATTTATATCAGTCAAATAAATAACTTGCATTTAAAGCAATGGTAATATGGATTCACCCTGTTTCTAGTACTAAATAAATTTTGAATTTGAATCAGTTATTTAATCAAATTAATTAAAAATTTGATCAAATAATTGATTCAAATAATTGATTCAAATTTAAAATTTGATTTGGTTTGGAGGAGTACTATCCATTTCACTGACAACTTTTAATTCTAACCAATGCCAACTTTAAACCAGGCCATCCCTAACTATAAATCAGACCAACCTTAATTATTAGTAAAATGGTGGTCGGAAAAATAAGATTCATCGTGATAATATATACATATTTAGTAATAAAATAAATTATTGACCGAATCAGGCTATGATCATATAAATGACATACAGTACTAAAATAATATATGGTTTATTTGACAAAGAATAGTATATTATGTAATAATAGTTGTATAACAAATAAATAGGTTTGATCACGATCTTTTACTTGGTCAATAAAAAAAAAGAATCGAAAACTAAATCGAAGATTAAAATTGTCAGCAAGAGGAGAGAAAGAAAGAGGATGCAATAAAATAACTGGCTTTATATTATTTAGCTTTTTGCCAACATGGCTAAAAGAAAATTTGGTACGTTAGAAAGCTCTTTAAAAGTTATTACTGACGTTCCTAATATATATATTTTTTTTATAAAACTAAAAGTACAAAAAGAAAAAACAGTTGAAAAGCGATCGAGTATGTAATGTAAAAATATTATTTTTCATTATATTATCTAATTAATTATCTCACTATTTATTCTCTTGCTTGTGGATTCTCTAGATAATGAAATTGTAAATTCAGCTTTCAAAAGAACACAAAAACGCAAACAAACAATCAAGTTACAAGTTCTTCCACTCCAAAGAAGACACGAAAATATAATCAAAGACAATCAAATAATAATATTACAAGCTCTAATGTAGGTTTAATTTTTCAAAACAATGTGCTAATAAAAATGTTAGATACTAATAGTATACCTATGAAAGCAGTTGTCTGATGAATCATTATCTCAAATCGAATCTATTAATCAAAGACACAAAGACAATGACAATGCTCTTTTAATAGATCACGAAAGTAATGATATTACATTGTTGTCAGATAATGAAAGTGATAATGACATTGCATCTTCCCCAATTTCCTCGCCAGTTCACGAAGATGCCTTTTCACCATTTCACGAAGATGTCTCTTCACCAGTTCACGAAAATGCCTTTTTACTGGTTTACGTGAATAATATTTCTCCTGTTCCTGAAGTTTATAGAAATAATGATTCTTCACCGGCTTGCAGAAATGGTAATGTTATTTTACCTTTCATTATTTCTTCGTCAATTTGTAAAAGTAACCAATTTATTATGCTACTTCAGTTTCTTTTACGGGTATATGTTATATAAATGAATATTCATAAGTTATAAACAAACAGTTTTAATATTTGTAATTTAATAAATTTAATAAATAAGATGTAGATAAATCATATAATTCAATGCCATAACGACCAATACAATTTCAACAAGCAGATAATGAATTTGAAATCACTTTATAGTTAACACACCTAAAAGGATATTAGATTTAGCGACCAATATTAGGAACAGGATAATGACAAGGATAGAAGAACATAGT